TGTCACAGTTGTCTGGAAAGTATTTATGGCCTGACGAAATATTTGAGCACCTTAGGGATTCACGCGAGTGTAGTGTATCAACTGCAAGGCCATTCTATTGGAATGTAAAGAACGAACCGAAAAGGATACATTCGATAACGAAAATTAAAATTTTCGCGATGGTTTCAGTGTTTAATGCATCAATTTAGAGTAATATGGAAAAGCTGATTAACCAAAGAAATTCTTGTCGCTTCAGCTATCGTATCTCGTTGCATTGCCATGATTGCAATTAAATTCAAGATGTTAAATAGTCTTCAATGAAAGTCAAGGAGCTTACCAAGAGTGATAAAATCAAAATCTGCTCTGTAAGCGAATTTGGTTTCATTACAAGAAACATTTTTCATTTTAATGAATCAGGTTACTAGTCATGTTCAATGGATAAATATTTCTTTTAAAAATCAATTATGCCCGATTATCATATTCATATTTTCACTCGTTCTTAATTATCCAACACATTTTCAAGCGATGTATTTTCCTCGTGGATTCATTCATTTAGTAATACACCTGCTCTCTTCTCACGAACGTACAATACATTCAAAATTTTCGCCTTTAGAGGTGTTAAATGTATTTATTAAACTCTGCCATTCCAGGAATGCACAAACATTTCCCAACCATCTATTGCCTCTGACAAAGAGAAATTACCCTATACATTTAGGCACAAGTTTCGGGAGTGTTTATAACGCGCTCCGAAAATAAACAGAAGCACATTTAGCGGCTTCTCCAAACAAATGAACGGTTCAAGGTGTAGCAAGATCGTAACAGGAAGTAACGGGAAAGAAAATACTTGCCGACATATTTTCAGAAAAACAATATGAACAACATTAGTTTTTAGTTGGATATATATCAAATATAGTTAGTCAGGTAGTATACATAAACTATTTCCTAAGGCGTCCTGGGTCAGTATGGGTATCATCCGTAGATACTAACTAAAAAGCACGTAACAGTGAAAATATTTTCTCACAATGACAAAAGTATCATAGTTTATTGCAAACTCTAGTTATAAGTAATTCTTTTAGGTGAAATGAATTCCTGAATTCCTAAAGGAACCGAAGTCTCACTTACGGTGTTGAGGTTTGGCAATATTTATAACCAACAGACGTGAAACATCGGGATATAATTTGACAAATATCATCAAAGTTGACCAGTATTTTACTGAAACTTTGAAATTAAAATATTGTCAGGACTGAAAAAACATTCTTGGGCAAATTATATTACGACAAATCTTATTTTCTCTTTGAAATAAAATTAAATGGTTTCCTTTCGTGAGTTACGATTGCTCTGGATGATTAAAAGTTAAAGGCTAACCACATTGCATTTGACTCATTCTTCTCATCATGGAAGAAAACTTAATTTCATAAAAAAGTCCAGCCTAAGCACTCCATCGCCAGAACAAGTCCTTCCTACACCCATGTTTTCAGCTACCCTCGTGCACTAACTAAAGTAAACCGCTCTTGTTTTCAATAGACTATTGAATATTAATATAGAATGAAAGTTTTACTTCTGCAACTTTCATTAAAACTAACTATGTATACGTCCGAACGCAATACGTTAGTCATTTCTTCTAATTAATGCAAGACCAAATGGTTATATGCAAAATTAATGCAAAACTAAGATTGAAGGAAAACAATGGCGTGCAATTGAGAAGGACAGGCTAAACAGTTGCAGCACAGACGTTTTTGAAGGATTTTCAGCAATATACTTCTAAGTAGTTCATTTCTGATATTATTGTATTAACCGGTTCAGCAGAGTTTCTCTATTGCATATTTAATTTCTACAACTCTTTCTCTCTCAATTGCAATGAAGCAGACGCCACAGACATCAATACGAACCTACAACATAATGTCCTCGCATGCACTGGAACACAAAAAGCTTCTGGTCGGCAGGATTTTGAAACGCAAAGAGCTTGGGGAACATATGTTTCTGTGCGTTTATGAGTTCCAACAGCACTAAAACGTCCACGTTCTGTTAGGCACTTATAAGAGAAATCTAGTCTAACGCACTCTGTCTGGTTCCAAAAATATTCCCAGCAAATAAATTTACTTACTACTTCTTGTTGTTTATGTTGAAACTGGCACTACAAACAAGTTTTTTTATGCCAAAAGTATAAGTGACAAGAAACTAGTTAGCCTTACGCACTAAGCTAATGCTGCATTTTTATTAGTTAAAAAAAATTAAGAGACAAGCAGCCAATATTCTTGTATACCGAAACATTCCAATGTTGCCAATTTTTAAGGAGAATTTGACCAGCTGAGTAAGTCAAAGACAACGCATTGTTTGGCAATTAATTTGATGCGTGCGTCATGCGTTCATACAAACCACGCCAGAAAATTGTAGTATTGTTTCGTTATTTTGGCTACATTTGTTTATTACGATACACGGTAGATAACTTTTTGGATGGTTAGGCATTAATTATTAACTAAGTTCCTCTATGATATGCCTATTTATATAAATTACCATTGTAAGGAGGGACATTTCGACTGGTTTAATGTACTATTTATACGTATGTGGCATGATTTTACTTGAAATTGGTGAGTGGGGACACTATTTTTAGTCGGAACTGTAAACTGCGGCACTACATTGAGGAACCTAAGTGCATTGATGCAATTGAGGCATTGCAAAGCCGAGGTGTCGTAAAAGATTTTTTTTTCGCGAAATCAATTAAAACATGTATGAATTATTATTCTTGGCATGCAACCAAAGTTAGCACTGGGTGAATGTTACAACTACTTGGAAGGTGTTTGGAGCAAACTGTGTATTGGCACCGATTTATATAACATTTAGATGTTAAAATCTTGGTTTCGAAAATTTTGGTGCTTAACTCCTTTGGCTATGCAAGGCCTCAATTGTAGGTGGTCTTGATTGATTGATCAGTTACCGAAATGATCGATATGAAGACCAATCTATGAAACTCCAGAAACAATTTCGTAAAATCTCATAGGAAAGTGGCATGTCACGAGCACAGATGCCAAATAGTGCACGAGACTGGTAAAAAAGTAATTTACTGATATTTAGGAGCTGTTTCTGGAATGACGGTAACAGTTCTGTAGGCCACTGCCGACAAACCCTAAGGAGAATCCTGAGAGAGAAGACAAAAGCAAGAGACATTTAACAGATTCTTTTAAATCCAACCAACAAATAAATTAACTATGACTGGCGAAAATGCAAAACTAAACGCACTATATTTATTATATAACGTATAAATAAACAAAAGAAATGATATGACTTACAATTCCAGAACGAATTAATATAATGTCCATAAAAATCTATGGTACGTAAATTTACGATCAGCCAACGATTGAGGCAGCAATCTGAAGGATTGTACGAAATTTAAGCGAGCAAGCCTATGTCTTTACACGGCCATTTTCGCAAAATACATGTAAAATAGCCAAAGAGATTACACCATTACAACATATCGCCATTCGTTTATTAGCAGACGATGCCATCAGTAGTTGAAGTAACAGCCAACATTTTCCCAACAGAATAGTCTGGAATAACGTGAGATTGACATTCCTATCACTACAACCAGCGGACTAAATGCGTCATTTTCAGTCCAATATAACCGGCAGCTACGAATAAAGCAGTGAAATGGATCTGGTATCTCTTGGGGTCATCGAAGACGTAAATCGATTCTGCAGCCGGCGGCGGCATCCATTGCTGTTTTCTCAGCTGTCATTTCTGTGAAAGAGAGGGAAGCGCCGTCCGCCCCTCGACTGTTTCGCTCTCCCCTCCCCCACCCCTTTCCCCTCCGACAGAGGCCGATCGATCAGGCACCGCCAGGGGTAGCAGGGGTGGCCAAACTGCACACGCTCTCGTAGACAGTCCCAAGTCGCAACATTGCACCTGGAATGTTGGGTTTCGAGTCGGATCGGTTTAAACCTCGGGCAACGACACCTGCGACCAACAACTAAGAATTTTCTGTTGTCAAACTACATATTCGTGGCTGTCAAATGGAAAATAATACATTCAAAACTGCGAGGGTATAAAAACGTTACATCTCTAACACTTAAGTTGCTATGATAGCACTCAGGACGACATTGGAAGAGAAATTACACTTTCTGAAAGATTAAGTCTTATATATTCGGCTCAATCATTCCTAAAAACGATCTCGCGTGTCCTCCAGTAAAATCTAATTATTTGTTTGGGGATGAAGACAGTAGAATCGACATATTGCAGCAGTCATGTTGCAGCGAGCGTCCTCAATCATCCTAGACACAAACGTTCCGTGATTCAATTGATTCACAAGTAGTATCATTGGAAATCAACTTCGAGTTTTTTTGAATATGGAGTTTTTATTCTTACACTTCGGTCTGGAAAGTGTAGTTTTGATTTGATTCTGACGAAGAAATAGAGTAGGATAATGAGAACTAATTTTATTAATTTCCAAACCAACAATTCCACTGAATTGTGGCGGTCGTCTAAACTTCATCTTACGATCTAGGTCTAATTGAGTTTTGAGTTACAATGTTACAAGTACGAGGTGGAATATTTTTATCCATTTTCTGACAGATTAATAAGTCCCTAATCAAAACTAATCTTTTGACACATTCTAGAAGACGAAATCACACTTCATGAAACGAATTTTTACTCTCACAGTCGTGACGACAGCAAAACCGAAGTTGTATTAAAGCAATGTCGAGAATTTACGTAAAAGTGACAGTACTGCAGTCGGCATCTTCATTATTGAGCTGTCACTGTCCGAAAGTAGCAGTTTCCGTTTGGACGTCCGTGGAGTAACTCCACAACAACCACCATGACAACCGATTAACGCGGTCCTGGAAGAGGTTTTCGCGAGAAAAACCACTTCCAGGGAGATGACGCAGACGGTTGGCTCACGTCTGCGGGCGGAGGACGAGGGAATAAGCTCCAGTTAACGTCAATTGACGGCCGCCCGGTTGGCGACAACGACGCAGCGCGGTGCGGCGCGGCGCGGCGCGCCGCAATCGATCGATGGCTTCACTTACCGCAGACGCCGCAGCCAGAAGCGAGGCGACAGCGGCCGCCGTCGCGTTCTGCTCCGTCAGCACATTGTTGTTATTGTTGTTGGCCTGCTGCTGCAGGAAGCAGTTGTTGGCGTCGGCCGCGGGCGCCGTGGTGGCGCTGCCGGCGCCCGCCCAGTCCTCGGCCTCCTCGAATCGCGCCAGTGGTGCTTCGAACTTGAGCTCGGCCATCTTCGTGGCCATCATATCTCTCATGGTCGGCCCCGCCACCGGCCCCAGCCGCTGCGTCCGCCCGCCGCCTCCGCCGCCACCGACACCGCGCTCTCTGGCCTGCTCACGCGACCGCTGCCCAACCTCCACTGGCGGCCGCGGCCGAGGCCAGCGCCGCCGCCGGCGCCGCAGGCGGCCCCACGCGCATGCGCCACGCACCGCAGCGACCGCGCTGCCATCTCGCGGCCGCTCAATCGCACCACATGCGCAAATCATTGTTGCGAGCGTCCCGCGTGGCGGGTTTCGCAATCAACAACGTACGGGGCGGGGTGTAATGAAAGAGCGTGTTAGTGTGCACAAAAAACCTGAAGATATACTTACATAATTGAAATGTGTGATTAACAATTAATTAAGTCATAAACAACTATTTGAATTACTTTTATTCAATCTCAGAACACATAGATTGTTTGTTGAATGCTCCACTCACTGTTGCGACCGCGCTGCAATCTCGCCACCTCGCGCCACACGCGCAAACCATTGTTGCGAGCGTCCCCGGTGGTGAGTTTTGGAATTAAGGACCTACGATGCGGGGCGTTGTTATTAAAGAGCGTGTTGGTGTGCAAAAGAATCTGAAGATATATTTACAGAATGAGAATGTATTAATAACAATTAATTGCGTCATAAACAACTATTTGAATTACTTTCATTCAATCACAGAACACATAGATGCTTTGTTTGCATTTGCCATGCACAGTAGTGACCGCGCGATCTCGCGAGCGCGCACCGCACCACACGCGCCCAACCATTGTTGCGTGAACCCCTGGTGACGGGTTTAGAAATTACCAACGTACGTTGCAGGGCGTTATTAAAGAGCGCGTTAATGTGCACAAATAATCTGAATATATATTTACGGAATGGATTTACGGATTATTTTTATTCAACCCCAGAACAGATAAGCGCATTGTTGAATGCGCTACACACAGCAGTCACCGCGTTGCCATCTCTCGAGCACACAACACACGACACGCGTAAACCATTGTTGCGTGCGTACCTGGTGGCTGGTTTTGTAATGAATGACGTACAATGCGGGACATTTTTAAAGAGCGCGTTGATGTGCACAAAAATCTGGCAATATACCTACAGAATGGGATTGTATTATTAACAATTAATTACGTCAAGGTGAAATATTTGAAAAACTTTTAATCAATCACAGAACACACAGATGCATTATTGTGACAGTATGCACAATCAAGAGTAGTGCCCATTAGGGTTCAGCTATCTTCACCGAAATTACATTATGTTATTTCGGTGGCGTCGGTTCAAGTGCCCTAGAAGCAGATGATACATTAGTATCTAGTAATGTTCTATAGTTTCTTTCGTGATGAAAATCTTACAATGAAGGGGTTGGGGTGACATAAGATTACCATATTCCATTAAGCAGAAAGACGACATTTCTTATGAAAAGAGATAACTTCATATAAAATGTTTTAATTTTATAAATATATTTTTCTTAAAGATGAAATACTTAATAATGACAAAATAAATACTTCAGTCAATGTCATCACTTTCATAATCACACGATAGGCCTACTTTAGAATTGGTTTAAACTAATTGGTTTATTATAACAAATCTAATTATAGTAAAATACGAGTGTCCGGGCATAAGACATGGCAACTGATTTATTTTTGAGACTATGAGCAAGGGTGGAAAATGTGAAATACACACATGAAAGTCAAGGTATGAACTAAGTGGATGGACTTTTAATGACACGCCCAAATTGTATTTCTCATGTTTATTAAGATTATTACTCTTTTCCATTTTTCCACCAAAAGTATTTGGTGGATGATGAGATCCCCCTCAACAATTATAACTTTGTTTTGCTTTTTCAGTATATCATTAAACAAGGCTTTTTTGCGCATCCTACTCGAAAAATACCCCCCCCCCCAGCAGTATTCACTTCACAAACCAGCAGAACAATATTAGCACAGAGCACAGTATCTATAACCAGCCCCAGCATCCATACGTTGTAATACAATAAGTTGTACCAGTGATGGCAACACTGTCGTTTTCCATGACGTATATGATGGAATTGAAGATATAATAATTCATGTATGGATTTTGGTGATTGTTAGGTGAGAAGGCGAAGTTAAATATCATTTATTTATACAATGAAATGTTGTAATGTTTTGGACTGTAAAAAGTTGTAAAAACGCCGCAGCCTTCGTACATGATACGTTTAGGTTGCATTTATAAGTAACGCCCCTTTTTTAATATAAAAAGAGTACATTTTGTCCCGTCTTGTAAAATACAACCGGGCAGTTTTTCTTACTTAAAAAAAGAGGGCATGTTCAGGGAAAAGAAGATGTACGGTAAACCAAAACATAGTACGAACTCACATGTCTATAATATTCTTGTCAGCCAGGGCAAAAATCAGTTTTAATACAATGAGCGTGTCTCATTTTATATAGTACATACTCCTGGCTGCTTTCTACTCATGTAGAAATCGATTTTTCATCTAAACGTAGGAGATATTCTAAGACTTTCGGTTTGGATGTATACGAGTTAGCACTATCTTCTTCCGACTCTTCATTTGCCTATTGAATACGTTATAAACACCTACAAATCAACAAATAAATACATATTTTAGGTTCAGCGTAAATAAAATTTAATTTGTATGACAATATCATATCATCTAGACATTGCATCTTCAACACCCCCTAAAAAATTCCGGTAACGCCACAGCAGAATCCAATTGTTTTTAATTATTTTTAATTGGTTTCGTTTTCTTTTTCCAAAATGTTATTATAAGAAGAAAATGTGCACTCCACTTCATAAGAATTTCAAAGAGGGATGGCAGTTTAATAATCCTTTAATTCCTTTCCAGATATCCCAGTTAGTACTTTACTTTCTTCGCGAAGAAATTCAATGCCGGATTTTCTGGCTTTTACTAGCTACGCGTTTCTCGCTGCAGCATTTCCAATGACTTGTTTTACTTTCTCCCTACGGAGTAAAGAGAAAGTTATGTAACGCTGGGAGAAAAAAACAGCAAACTTTTCGACACAAAAACTCTTACTACAGGGCCCTGGTGACAAGAAAATTGTGGCGTCGTTAACACGAGGGCCAGAACCATTAGGTCGGTGAAAGTACGCTGCGGGGGAGGAAGG